CACTGATGAGCTGATAGATCATCTTCAACAGCAAGAGGCCACACTTGAGGAAACTGCTTCGGAGGAGGGGATAGAGAAATTGAAGATGTTGCCTACTTCAAAGATTAAGGAAATGTGTGCAATGTGGCTTAAAGTGCAAACCTTTTTTGATGACAATCACCCTAACACAGCTATTGCAAGCCGTGCTGGTGACTATTACACTAACAATGTTGTGAAACACTTTAGGAATGTCATAAAGGAACGGGAGGTACAGGCCACTATGGACAGATATGTTGTGCGACAGAAATCCAGTGACTCTCAAGCTGGTCCTAGTGGCATTAAAAGAAGAAGGGAAGTAACCCAGGAAAAGGACTTGCTACCTCAAGTCCTAATGGAAGGGGATTCCCCTTCTAAACACTAACACCTCTCCCCTCCTCCCATCCCATCAATCATCACCAGATCTTCATTAAAGGTAAGTGTCAATTATTTTATTGTTATCGTAATTATTCTATTGCATTAAACTTAATATTTCATGTAGTAAAATTTTTTTTCATACTTTTGGGTGTCTTGCACGGATTAATTTGATTTCCATTATTTCTTATGAGGAAAATTGATTCGGTTTTCAATATTATCGGTATTCGATGAGCTCTCAGGAATGGATTAATATCGAATACCGGGGGTCCACTGTACCAAGCGCAAACACCCATCCATCAGACTAACTCATAGGTACCTACGCTATTCCTAGCTCCAACCAACCCCATAGAAGTTACGCACATCATAAACACCCTTAAAAACAAGGCAGGAGACATAAACAACTTGCCTGCTTTTATGTACAAAAAAGCTTCTCAAGTATTGTCACCAATTATTGCAATGCTCTTTAACAAATCCATTGAATCACCTACCTTCTCAACAATCCTCAAAATAGCAAGGGTCACTCTGATCCACAAAGGAGGTGACCAAGCTGACATGAATAACTATAGACCAATATCTAACTTACCACTGCTCTCTAAAATCATTGAAAAATTAATTCATAGACTGATCTATTCCTACCTCGTCTCACACAACATATTAAGCCCTTGTCAGTTTGGATTCAGGAATAATAAAAGCACAAATGATGCTATCATACACATGCTAGAACTAATATATACCGCACTCGAAAATAAAGAAGTCCCGCTGGGCATTTTCATCGATTTACGTAAAGCTTTCAATACAGTTGACCATGAACTGCTGTACTCCAAATTAACACACTATGGTATCAGAGGCCACTCCCTCAGCTACCTAAAATCATACCTTAGTAACAGAACTCAATATGTGTATGCAAATGATGCAAACTCTTCCACCCAACCAATCACAGTAGGAGTCCCAAAAGGAAGTGTCCTTGGACCACTCCTCTTTCTCATCTACATCAATGATCTACCAAATGCATCACTACTACTCAAACCCAAACACAGTCAATACCGAATTGCAGAAAATATCTGCCTGGATGATGACTAACAAACTTACCCTGAATACTGATAAAACCTACTTCATTCAATTTGGAAACAAAGCTGCAAATGATCCAATTAACATAATGCTAAACGGATCATCAGTCACAAGATTGACAGAGAGAAAATTCCTAGGTATCCACCTTGACAGTAGCCTTAAGTTCCAGACACACATACAACAAATCCCCAAGAAAATCTCCAAGACTGTAGGCATACTATCAAAGATAAGGTACTATGTTCCACAATCAACTCTCCTGGCTCTGTACCATTCACTCATATACCCTTATCTTACATATGGAATTTGTGCATGGGGAGCAACAACATCCAATCACCTAAAACCCCTAATAACCCAGCAAAAGGCAGAAGTAAGTATGATAATAAATTCCCACTCCCACCAGCATACTCCACCAATTTTCAAAAGTCTGAATCTGCTCACAATTAAGAACATCCATACTTATTCATGTGCCTACTACATACACAGAACAATACATGCAAATATAAACCCTCCACTCAAACTTCTCTCCAACCTAAACAGGACACATGACCACAACACAAGACACATCTCTTTTTGATACACCTCGTGTCTATATCACACTGCGTAAAAACTCTATGCACATAAAGGGCCCCAAAATATGGAATTCATTACCAAAAGATATTAAAGTAACCCAGTCTGAAAATCAATTTAGGACTCTTCTCAAAAGCCACTTAATCACCCAAGACTAAACGCTAATACTCAGTACACACATACTCACTTATGTTCTCCCACATCATAACTTCAACAATCACTTTGAACCTTTTATCCATTGTTGACAGGAAAATAATTGAATCATTGTTTTCACAAAAAGCATTTTTGAATAGATGAATTTATCTTTTGTCTTATACAAATTTTGATTCACTTATAATTAATTAATCAACTATTCAACTATGAAATAATTACTATCCTACTGTACAACTATGATATACTCCTTAGTGTAAAGTAGTCTGTAGCCAATAATGTTAAGTTGGCCCAAAATGTCTAGGCATAATACAGGTCTCCCTCAACATTTGCGAGGGTTAGGGGATCAAGAGCCTCGCGAATGTTGAAAAACCATGAATGTTTGGTGCCCCAATATATTGTAGGGAAATATATTACAATACTGCTTCCTTAACTTGTTGAACCATGAATAATCATAAAATACATGAAAACGTCGTAAATTGTACTAAATATATACATGTTATGCTTTAATAATGTATGTTATTTAATAACATGTATGCTAATATCATGTATGTTATTTAATAACATGTTAATAACATGTATGTTATTTAATAACATGTATGTTAATAACATGTATGTTATTAAATACCACAGACTTCACCACTGCGAGTCCCTACTACCCTCCCTCCGACCCCCACAACTGGCAGCCAGCCCTCCCACCACTCAGTGTGGTGAGTGTTTTGTTTGTTCATTATTTGCTATTAAACTACAGAATAAATAATGGCTATTAGGAAAGGTATTAGATGGTGACATCATGTGTTTACTCTTGAACACAGCGAAGAATCGAACATTTCTGCTATTGCTAATAATAACAATAGTAATAATAATAATAATAATAATAATAATAATAATAATAATAATATAATAATAATAATAAAATAATAATAATAATAAAATAATAATAATATAATAATAATAATAATAATAATAATATGATATAATTGAAGAAGGAAATTGTACAAAAATACGAGGGAGTGGTTGACACATCGTCAGTGTGACTTTGTTTATGCTGGAGTGGACATTAGTCTCCCTGCTCTTCCAAACATTTCACAATAATTCAGCGGTTGAGGCAGTGGTATTTAATAACATATATGTTATAAATAATAATAGTACATGTTATTATTAATAACATGTATTATTATTAACATGTATGTATTTAATAACATATATGTTATAAATAATAATAGTACATATTATTAATAACATGTATTATTATTAACATGTATATTATTAAATACCATTGCCTCGATCACTGCCTCTACCACTCCAGTCACACTCAATCTACAAACACCAAACACAATGAATTATTGTGAAATGTTTGGAAGAGCAGGGAGACTAATGCTCACTCCAGCATAAACAAAGCCACACTGACGATGTGTCAACCACTCCCTTGTATTTTTGTACAATTTCCTTCTTCAATTATATCATATTTATTATTATTATTATTATTATTATTATTACTGTTGTTATTATTAGCTGTAGCAGAAATGTTTAATTCTTTGCAGTGTTCAAGAGTAAACACATGATGTCACCGTCTAATACCTGTCCGAATAGCCATTCCAATATGCAGTCATGAATGGGTTTACATTATTTATACTGTAGTTTAATAGCAAATAATGAACAAACAAAACACTCACCACACTGAGTGGTGGGAGGGCTGGCTGCCAGTTGCGGGGGTCGGAGGGAGGGTAGTAGGGACTCGCAGGTGGCGGGAAACTTAAATATGATTTGGCGGCAGGGAATTTGGTGGCTGGGAATTTGGCGGTTGGGAATTCGCGAATGTGTGAAGCCCGTGAAAGTTGAAAACGTAAATGTTGAGGGAGACCTGTAGAGGCTCTCTCTGCATTGCAACCCACTATTGTAAATCCAAAATCTCAATGTACTGTTTGCAAAGACATAAAATAAATAAATAAATAAATAAAAATAAAGCTCATGGAGGAGGAAGAGAGAGGACCTAGTAGCACTCAGTGAAGAGGCAGGGCCAGGAGCCGAGTCTCAACCCCTGTAACCACAATTAGGCGAGTACTGTGTGAAGACAAATGGTTTTTAGGATTTGACATGCTGTTGGAGTGTGAGCAGGGTAATATTTATGAAGGGATTCAGGGAAATCAGCAGGTCAGACTTGAGTCCTGGAGATGGGAAGTACAGTGCCTGAACTCTGAAGGAGGGGTGTTAATGTTGCAGTTTTATAACTGTAGTGTGGGCACGCCTTTGGCAAGACAGTGATGGAGTGAATCATGATGAAAGTTTTTCTTTTTCAGGCAACCCTGCCTTGGTGGGAGAAGGCCGATGTGTTGATAAAAAAAAAAAAAAAAAATATCAGGAGTGAAAAATAATGGTTATGCCAGCATTTAGTCTCAAAAAATACCATATTAAATTTTGAGCAAATGCATTATCACATATTAAATGAAGCATAGACAATGTACTAGACTACAATAATAAGCAAAAGCATATTAAAGGAAATCTAGTGGTGCAGATACAGTTAAAGACAGTATAGAAATCTCAATATCTGCATTAAATTTCACAATAAACTAAATATTAAAGTTGATAAAAAGTGAATGATAAAAATTATGAAAAATAGCGTAAATTTATTAATCTGAAATAAACAACTACAGGATAAGTCATAATGTTTTTTTTTTTTCCAACAAACCAGCCATATCCCATGAAGGCACAGTGACCTAAAAAGAAAAACCAAGTTTTTGTTTTTAAATTTAGTAAAAAGTCAACATACAATGTTAAATAAAATCCAGTCATTCAGACAACAACAAAATAACATAACATACTCTGAGGGCAGCAATGTACATGGTCTGGACAACACACAGCCGTGGGAAATGGACAACACCCATATTCCATGTTTGCCAGTTGACAACAAGTCATGTAATCTGGACATCTGAAATGATTGCACAGGCACATGAACCCTCTAAATAACTTTAATGTAGAGTTTTGCAAAGAAATTAGGTGAAAAAAGTTAAATTACAACAGGAGATGGAAATCATCATCAGCTAGGTACACGAATACTAGTGTCGAACTATAAACATGAAATTACAAAGCAATAATATTATAGAGAATATTAAAAACATCTTAACATTAAAAATACAATGCACATATTTAATCAAAAGCAATGATAATACCAAGAACATATAACAAAACTTCGCAAACATCAACGATAAGCAGTACAGGCAGGCCCCGCTTTACAGTGTTTTGCTAATACAGCAGTTTTTAATTATACCAATTCGTCATTTATACAGACTTCCTACAATAAATATATTCACCACTCACTATAAGCTAAGGACAAAATTATTTTAAGGTAACTAATGCTTGTACTGTATATGCATTTTGTAGGTATAGCTCTATTGTTCAATTAATATATGATAGTGTATGTTATCTGGCTTTAACATGCATTTGAAAGTGAATAAAGGATGTTTCACTTTAGAGCAATTTTCGCTTTACAGCACTAGCCTGGAACCTAACCTGCTGTATAAGCAGACCCCTTCATGTACATATTAGCATAAAAAACATTAATATCATATATTATAACCTAAACATCCATCCTATAAAAACAATAGCATCAAGAACATGAAAAACATCACATAACATTACATCCTTAATATAAGGTAGCATAGCCTAATCACATTATGTATGCAATACATCTCATTAAAAAAATTGGTTGTCTGGACTGGGTTTCAGATGTCACTAGTGAGGCTGCTGCCAAGGTCTTTCAACTCAAAACAAGAAAAAAATTGTAATCATGTTGCTATTACGTTTGAATGCTGTTACAGTGGTACCCTGACTTATGATTTCCGAGTTATGAGCCGTCGCTCAGTCGATTTTTTGCTATGAGTTGTGAGCCAAAATCTGAGTTACGAGTGAGCTTCAGATATGCCGCCATTCACAGGAGAGGAAATGTCAAAACCCCCGATAATAACCAATGTGTAACATCCTTTCAATTTTGATACCACTGGTAGTGTCATCCTGCCAGAATGTTCTATAAGGTATGCCCTAAGTAAAGAGAAACAATTCTGGAACATGTGTAATACATGTTTGGCAGGCCGGCTAGTTGGGTGGGTGGCTAGCCAGCTGGCTGGTTGGCTGATTTGCTTTGGCTGTCTCTATCTCCTTCTGTCTGTCTGTATCTATCTCTTGTCACTGTATCTATGTCAGTGTCTGTCTCTATCTCATAGGTACACATAAATCCAGTAATACATAGTCACAAACACTAATCTCTGGTCGAAGGAGACTCGAACCTACGACCAGAGATTAGAACCTACGGCCAGAGATTAGCGTCTGTGAATACTTCGCCTGTTCTGCGATTTCTAAGTTATATCTGTGAATACTTCGCCTGTTCTGCGATTTCTAAGTTATATCTGTGAATACTTCGCCTGTTCTGCGATTTCTAAGTTATACAAAGTGTAAATTACTTAGGATAACTGAAAAAATCCAGACAAAGTGCTATACTATGCATGTAGTTATAAGGCATAATAAGCATGACTGGCAAGTAATACACATTTTCACTCGTTCAGGAATCAGAAGTGACTGACTCTGCATCGTGTGTAATACCTGTTGGCTCATGAGCAGCTCTCTCTCTGAGACAGACAAGTAGAGAGATAGGAAGACAGAAACACAGGCAGACAGAAAAACAGATAAGCAGAGACAGAGATAAACACAGAAACAGATAAGCAGAGACAGAGATAAACATAGACAGATAGACAGAAACAAACAGATACAGACATGTTTATTTGTAACAGTGAAAAATAAAGCCAAGGCAGTGCACGATCATCAAATGTCACTCCACTGGCAGTGGAGTGGCACTCAACTTACACCGTGCTTCAAGGAGTTTCATATATACTCCAGCATTTCTAAAACATTGCTGGGACCTGGCAAAAAAGGCAAAAATCATTTCTTATTTATAAATACATTTTTCTTACTTTAAAACCCGTAACAAAAAAACTGGGGTGATTTTTCAGGGGCTGGAATGGATTAATGGCATTTCAATTAATTTCAATGAGGAAAATTTATTTGATATACTAGCAAATTGAGTTACGAGCTCAGTCACAGAATGAATTAAACTTGTAAGTCGAGGTGCCACTGTATACTGCATTCTATGTTATTTAGTTGTTGATGCTACCAATTCTGTTTTTGGTTTCAGGCAGATTACTGTTCTGTAGGGATGAAGTTAATATGAGAGATTTCATTGCTTAAGGTCATCATGTGAATGGTCAAGATAATAGATAATGTCACAATGTATGACTTTTTGGGTTATTGTAGGTTAAATCTACACTGGGTATTATATTGTGCTCTTTGGACCATTGTAAAAACAAATTGTACCTGGGGCATGGGAAGAGTAGGGGTTGATTCAAGGAAGGGGCCAACTAAAAAGAGATATCAATCAGACAAACATATGACAAAGACACATGGAAAAGTATAAGCCTTAATTATAAGTTTTCTTCAAGATAAAACTCTCTGTGAGTGACACTTCTATAACTGTTTCTTCAAGGATAGCTCTCTCCTTGAGCAACATTTATAATAAAGGCAGTGAAGGGACTTGAGCTAGAGTTCGTCACGGCCACGCTAGCTGGAGATTCATCTGTAAAAACTTGCATTTGTGGTCACAGTGGTGCCTGTGCTAACCTTCCTATGGTGTAGAAATATACCTAGTTGGACGAATCTTATTGTGGCTAGCTGGTCTAGTGGCTAACGCGACGGGCTGGAGTTTTGAGACTCTCTGACCGCGGGTTCAATCCCGGCCGGGGTATGGTTTGTTTGCAATCGTGTCATTACGATTTCGTGAGTCGAGTCAAAGGCTTATGCTGTTTCCAATGCCTCCATCATCATGGAAGAGAATGGTAGCCCCAATTTCTTGCATGAAGAACTCTTATCACCATGACACCTATTAAAAGGTTAAGTGGACTTACTTGACTAAACCACCAGGGCAGAGGGTCTCATTAGCATAAGACATTCCTAGAATCGCATACAGCGCCCCAACAATGAGGTTTATGCCCACCATCATGCCTACAACAGCTGCTGTGGAGAGAAGCAAACACAGTGTGTAATTCTTTCAATTGTTACATAATTTATTACATTGATGAGAAAATGCTCAATTTATAATGGTCATACATTGCCTGGGAAATGGAAGATAATTAGGTTTGATCCAAGGAAGGGGGTGGTAACTCCAATTCCTTAAATCAACAGCCCTTCACTAACCTCAAGGTACCCCTTAAAGGGTATGACACACAGGATATCCATAACATTATCATCATGAGGAAGCACTAAATACGAAAGGGTCACACATTGGCTGGGGAATAGATCATCAGGTTTGATCACAAAAAGCAAAAGTAACAAAAAATCCTTGAATCAAAACCCCTTCATGTCCCTTGAAGTGACAAGCTGTCCAGTACATGCTTTGCAAAACAAAAATGATTACTTACAGGAATTTTTCTACACTATTTTTTTTCTTCGGGTTTTGAAGCAATTTGCTCAAAAGTCCCTTCTGATGACTGCAAGAATTGTGGAGTTACTCTAGTTGCTCCTCTTGTTGTGTTGATGTCTTGCTACTCTTGTTGTGTTGATGTCTTGTTACTCTTGTTGTGTTGATGTCTTGTTACTCTTGTTGTGTTGATGTCTTGTTGCTCTTGTGTTGGTGATGTCTTGTTGTTCTTGTGTTGGCAATGTCTTGTTGTTCTTGTGTTGGCAATGTCTTGTTCCTCTTGTTGTGTTGATGTCTTATTCCTCTTGTTGTGTTGGTAATGTCTGTTGCCACTAGTTACTTGTTGGAAATAACTTGTTCCTCTTGCCTCTGCTGAGTGGATATACTGTTTTATTATTAAGGTTTATATATTGCCCAGTTTGTTGGTAGTCTATAGGAATAAGTTATTGTTTCAGTTATTTTCTGCATTATATGAAGTGGGATTTCACAGACTCACAATATGGAAATAAGTCACCGACTTTTTTGGATTATCCTAGGGAATTTACACTATGTATGATAATTGTACATAATTATGTGTACCCTTGCCTACATAAACTTACTGACCCTATGTATTATTTTTACAAGTAACTGAATTATTACTATTATATTCACGGAGAAGTGCTCAATCCGCACCTTTCAAGGCAGGTGAAATTGCCGACCTAGAAAATGTACAGAGAACTTTCACGGCGCGCATAACGGAGATAAAACACCTCAATTACTGGGAGCGCTTGAGGTTTCTAAACCTGTATTCCCTGGAACGCAGGAGGGAGAGATACATGATTATATACACCTGGAAAATCCTAGAGGGACTAGTACCGAACTTGCACACGAAAATCACTCACTACGAAAGCAAAAGACTTGGCAGACGATGCACCATCCCCCCAATGAAAAGCAGGGGTGTCACTAGCACGTTAAGAGACCATACAATAAGTGTCAGGGGCCCGAGACTGTTCAACTGCCTCCCAGCACACATAAGGGGGATTACCAACAGACCCCTGGCAGTCTTCAAGCTGGCACTGGACAAGCACCTAAAGTCAGTTCCTGATCAGCCGGGCTGTGGCTCGTACGTTGGTTTGCGTGCAGCCAGCAGCAACAGCCTGGTTGATCAGGCGCTGATCCACCAGGAGGCCTGGTCACAGACCGGGCCGCGGGGGCGTTGACCCCCGAAACTCTCTCCAGGTAAACTCCAGGAACATGCTCCAGTAAATACGGACTAATGGACTACAATACGCAACATGAATTATCTTCACTATTTTATCACCTTGTACAAAATAATTTACCATCACATAGTATTTATCACATGCAACAGCATAACTTATATTCTACAAAGTCGTAAACAGAGGTTTACCACCCATACTTATACAAGCACAGGCATGACGGACTACACTATATTACCATATTACAGGAGTCACACTGGGGGAATGGCAGGTAACCAGGTTTGAGAATCGGAAGCCATCAGATTCAGTAATGGGTAGGCAAACAAGCAGGTTCAGGAACAGGCAAACAAGCAGGTTCAGGAATGGGTGTCAATCAGATTCGTGACTGGGAGGTAATCAGGTTCGAGAATGGCAGGCAATCAGGTTAGGGAATGGGATGCAAACAATCAGGTTCGGGAATGGGGTGAAATCAGGTTCAGGAATGAGGCAAACAATCAGATTCGGGAATGGGGTGAAATCAGGTTCAGGAATAAGGCAAACAATCAGGTTCGGGAATCAGAAGCAATCAGGTTCGGGAACGGGAGGCAAACAACTATGTTCGATCCAAGGAAAGGAACAAGTGAATTTCCACGCATCAAGAAACCAACCTTTTGGGGAGATAATGACGTATATATATATACTTACACTGAGTATTTGCCAGAGAGGGAGAGGAGACGTGTCTTGGCAGCAGGTTTGTGTAGCCCTGACGCTGAGACTGACTAGCTCCGCCCGTTCCCGCGTTCATATAACCCACTCAAGAACGTATGCACTGGACACGTACTGAACCTGAACTTTCCTAAGTCATTTTTATTTCCTGTACTAACACCCAAGTCCGTCTTGGTAGGGGATAGATATGTTATATATGTATGCATATAACCATGCCACATACAAACTAAATAATGTAGATCTTAATATTACGGACTGCGAAAAGAATTTAGGAGTTTTAGTTAGCAGTAATCTGAAACCAAGACAACAGTGCATAAGCGTTCACAATAAAGCTAACAGAATCCTTGGCTTCATAGCAAGTATAAATAACAGAAGTCCTCAGGTTGTTCTTCAACTCTATATATTCATTCATATTCATATAGTTTATTTGGACATGATACATAGTTGTACAATGAATACTAATAGTAATTGAGTGTACATGCCTAAAAGCCCTTGTACGCAGAGCATTATGGGCAGGCTTAAAATTAACTTAAAATTAACAAGCAATGACAGGTTCAGAGATAAAAATTACAGTAAACAATTTACAATATGAAGTACAATTGAGTATTTCAAACAATGAAATTTGAACATATCGATACTGAAGCATTATAGTTGTACAAATTTGTCACATTACAATGTATAAGATGCTCAGTTTGCTATATGTTGCCTTGAATTTTTAAGATTTAAGTAATTGGGAGAATTATTGGTAATGTTAAATACTGAGTGTTGATTATTTAGTCCTGGGTGAGTAAGTAGTTTTTTAGAAGTCTTAAATTGATTTTCAGGCCTGGTTTCTTTAATATGTTCTGGTAATGAATTCCAAATTTTGGGACCCTTTATGTGCATCGAGTTTTTACAGCGTAATATGGACACTGGGTACATCAAAGAGAGATCTGTGTCTTCTGTTATGGTCGTGTGTCCTGTTAAGGTTGGGGAGAAGTTTGAGTGGAGGGTTTATGTTTGAATGTCTTGTTCTATGTATGTAGTAGGCACGTAAGTGTGGATGTTCTTTATGGTGAGCAAATTTAGATTTTTGAGTAGAGGTGGAGTATGCTGTCGCGAGTGGGAATTTGTTACCATTCTGATTGCAGCCTTTTGCTGGGTTATAAGAACATAAGAACGAAGGAACACTGCAGAAGGCCTACTGGCCCATGCGAGGCAGGTCCAAGTCTCCTACCGGTTTAAGCCAATGCACCCAACCTAGTCAGGTCAGGTCACATTGACTTAAGGGAGGAACACAGCAATCGACCTGGTAGCACAAGCTATCAGGTCCAACTCACACCCACCCACATCCACTCATGTATTTATCCAACCTATTTTTAAAGCTACACAACGTTCTGGCCTCTATAACTGTACTTGGGAGTTTGTTCCACTCATCCACAACTCTATTACCAAACCAGTACTTTCCTATATCCTCCCTGAATCTGAATTTTTCCAACTTAAAACCATTGCTGCGAGTCCTGTCTAGGCTTGATATTTTCAGCACACTATTTACATCCCCTTTATTTATTCCTGTCTTCCATTTATACACCTCAATCATATCCCCCTAATTCTACGTCTTTCTAGAGAGTGCAGATTCAGGGCCCTTAGTCTATCCTCATAGGGAAGGTTTCTGATACATGGGATCGACTTTGTCATCCTCCTTTGTACATTTTCCAGAGCATTTATATCCATTCTGTAATACGGTGACCAAAACTGTGCAGCATAATCTAAATGAGGCCTAACCAAGGATGTAAAGAGTTGAAGAACAACCTGAGGACTCCTTTTATGCTTCTTGATATGAAGCCAAGGATTCTATTAACTTTATTGCGAACACTTATGCACTGTTGTCTTGGTTTCAGATTACTGCTAACCAGAACTCCTAAATCTTTTTCGCAATCCGTAATATTAAGATCTACATTATTTAGTTTATATGTGGCATGGTTATTGTCCTGTCCAACATTTAGAACTTTGCATTTGTCTATATTAAACTGCATCTGCCACTTCTCCGACCACTGCATCAGTCTATTCAAATCTTCCTGGAGTGCTCTAATGTCCTCGTCAGAATGAATTCGACGGCCTATTTTGGTGTCATCGGCAAACTTACTGATGTCGCTCTTTATGCCCTCATCTATGTCGTTTATGTAGATCGTGAACAGCAGGGGGCCCAACACTGACCCCTGTGGAACACCGCTCGTGATGCTCCCCCACTCTGATTTCTCCCCATTTATGCAAACTCTCTGCTGCCTATTTGTCAACCATGCCTCTATCAGTGGCTTTAGGTGATTTGATGTTGTTGACCCCCATGAACAAATTCAATATGTGAGATAAGAGTAGATAAGCGATTGATATTATATAATATATATATTATATTTATATATATATATATATATATATTATATATATATATATATATATATATAAATATATATATATATATATATATATAACACACACACACACACACACACACACACACAAATTGTCTACGTCCATGGCAGGACTCGAACCTGCAAACTCTATCAGTCCACAGTACTTTACCATGGAGCCAGACCTCATAAGTATGAGCGCCTAGCCGAAGCTAAGCGATGTTTCCCCATACCCCGGGGCACCACCAGGCTTGTTTTCAAAGTTATTACATCCAATCCTGCCACATACAGTGGACAACGAAAGAGATTTGAAATGCTTAACAATTTACAAACAGGCTAATCGTTAGGCATATATATATATATATATATATATATATATATATATATATATATATATATATATATATATATTATATATATATATATATATATGCAATAAGATCACAGTGAACAGGTGATTTCAAAATATGCAAAATAACCACTCTGAAAGAATAGAGAAATTCCAAGCGCTTTCGTGACTACTCACATTATCAAGGAACATAGTTCCTTGATAATGTGAGTAGTCACGAAAGCGATTGGAATTTCTCTATTCTTTCAGAGTGGTTATTTTGCATATATATATATATATATATATATATATATATATATATATATATATATATATATATATATATATATATATATATATATATATATATATATATATATATATATATCGTATTATTACTATTCTTTCTTGCCTATGCCTACATTCCAAAAAATGTAGCGACCTCCTGTCTAAAGGAGTGTCGTTCTTCCTGTACTTTCTTTCACCCAAAAATGTATCACTCCTAGGTCCTCCAGCAGTGTCACAACATCAACTGCCCTGCATACCATCTAAAAGGGACCAGGAGACACAGACCCCACAGGACAAACAACAGTAGCTACGACAACCCAACTCCAGGTGATTTTTTAGTGGCAGGAAACGAAAAAAGAAAATGGAAGGAAATAACAAAAATAGTCCACCACCTTGGAGCCTTGTTAGGTAAGACACATATGCAACAGTTAGGTATCTTTATTTCGAAACGTTTCGCCTACACAGTAGGCTTCTTCAGTCGAGTACAGAAAGGTTGATAGAAGCAGAAGATACTTGAAGACGATGTAATCAGTCCATCACCCTTAAAGTTTTGAGGTGGTCAGTCCCTCAGTCTGGAGAAGAGCATTGTTCCGTTGTCTGAAACAATATGAAGTTGAAGTGACAGAATGGGGCCTTTATATAGTGCCAATATGAAGTTGAAGTGACAGAATGGGGCCTTTATATAGTGCCACTATATAAAGGCACTATAATAAAGGCCCCAATTCTGTAAACTTCAAACTTCAAATTGGCACATTATAAAGGCCCCATTCTGTCACTTCAACTTCATATTGGCACTATATAAAGGCCCCATTCTGTCACTTCAACTTCATATTGGCACTATATAAAGGCCCCATTCTGTCACTTCAACTTCATATTGGCACTATATAAAGGCCCCATTCTGTCACTTCAACTTCATATTCGGCAGTACTAAAAGGCCCCATTCTGTCACTCAATTCATATTGGCACTATATAAAAGGCCCCATTCTGTCACTTGAACTTCATATGGCACTATATAAAGGCCCCATTCTGTCACTTCAACTTCATACTGGCACTATATAAAGGCCCCATTCTGTCACTTCAACTTCATATTGTTTCAGACAACGGAACAATGCTCTTCTCCAGACTGAGGGACTGACCACCTCAAAACTTTAAGGGTGAGGACTGATAACATCGTCTTCAAGTATCTTCTGGCTTCTATCTAACCTTTCTAGTACTCGACTGAAGAAGCCTACTGTGTAGGCGAAACGTTTCGAAATAAAGATACCTAACTGTTGCATATGTGTCTTACCTAACAATCTGTCGGTATTTCATACCATTTTAATGTTCACCTTGGAGCCTTGTTGGACTGGAGGCGCAGCCAGTGGCCACGCATGGCCCTCCAGAACTTCAACTACTGATGCCAATAACGAAATCCCCCCAACAAACACAGAATACAACCTCGTTCATATTTGCTAATATACAGGGCCTTAAGTCATCCACCACCAACAAAATACCTTTTATCAGTGGACTTCTAGAGGAGTCTAATGCAATGTTTGCAGCCTTCACAGAGACTCACACAAAAGATCACTTTGACAGTGAAATATGGATAAGTGGTTACAACCTTTTTAGTTGCGACAGAAAGAACAGGCAACAAGGGGGGTTGGCCTGTATGTCAAAGAGTCCCTCATCTGCACAGAGTTGCTGAACACCACAAATGACGTAGTTGAAGTTCTATCAATAAAGATCGAGAACCAAAACCTAGTCATTGTGGATGTATATAAGCCACCAGATGCAACCTCCCAACAGTTCAAGGAACAGCTACTGAAAATTGATTACTGTCTGGAAAAACCTTCCAGCTCCATCCCCAAACATCTTACTGCTTGGTGATTTCAACCTAAGGCATACAAAATGGAAGAATGTAGCGAATAATGTTATAGCTGAAACAATCCCCGGAGGTAGCGCAGATGAAAGGTCACATACACATGAGCTAAGTCTCTGCAAAAAACACACCTAAAGCCAGCAGATAGTGGAGCCAACAAGACTAGAAAACACACTTGACCTTATCTTCACAAATAATGAGGACCTGATAAGAGACATAATATAAAAAACAACTAATTCCAATCACAACCTAATCGAAGTCCAGACGTACAT